CCTAGGGTTTCCTAAAGTTTTCCTAACTCTTATTATAGATAGGGGGACATGCTAACACAATTGTTAAGCCTTCTAAATCTTTTACTTTAACAATAGCAGAATGGTAGAGAAAGATTCATGTAGCCAAACCCCAAATTTCTTGGGAACGAGGCATAGTTTGTTGTTGCTGTATTTGATTACTTTAATAGTCTTGCGGGTAAAGTTAACATTATGATGTACTTTGAGTCAATTGTCAGATAACCATCAAGGGTTATGCGGTATCAGGAGGTGAACGTGGCATAGATAGAGTAGATGTGTCCATCGATGGTGGCAAAATTTGGGTGGAAGCCTCCAGATTCCAGAAAGCTGGCATTCCTTACATTTCTGATGATACAAGCAGTGACAAATGGGCATGGGTGATTTTTGAGGTTGAGGCTGATATCCCAGAGAGTGCTGAGATTGTTGCTAAAGCGGTATGTTATAAATTTCTTATGAGAAGCATAGTGTTTGAGTTGTACATGCAGATATATGTTTTGCAATACTCTAGAGCACGTTTGAAATAAATCACTTTTTTGTTGGTGAGTTGAAAATTACTTATTTTGATACGAGGCAAGAGTTACGTTCAATATAATTACTTTTTTTTCCTTTATAAATTCTTCAAACAAAGTTATCCAAAGATTTTTGGAAACAAAATCGACTTAAAACTAACTTCTACACATTTTTATTTATTTATTTTTTGCTTAGCCAAACATTCTCTTACAAAAACTTGAAGATATAGTTGGCATTTTTGTCGTCCGTTGTCATTGATAATTGTTTTAATACATGAAAGTGGAAATTATTATTTGCCGAGTTTCACTGTTCTTTCCTTGACTCTGTTAACTGTGGTATAACTTTTTACTATCATTGGCAGGTGGACACTGCTGCAAATGTACAACCTGAAAATGTAGAAGTCATTTGGAACTTGAGAGGGATACTGAACACCTCATGGCACCGGGTTCATGTCCGGGTCGGGCATTCCAGTATGTAGACAAAGCAGTCTAGTAGCAGATTACTGATCCACCATCCTGCACTGTCGTCACTGTGTTATGCATTCAACTTGCTTAAATGCGGATAACATGTAATTTGATGTCTGTTAGAAGGTTTACATGTTTTTATTCCCGGGTTTTATACGTGTAAAAGTATATGTTTCGTTCTTGAAATAATTTGCTGGAATCTTTGAGCTGTTTGAATGATGACAAATCTCTACATTGATAATAACCAGAAATAAAAGATTGATATGCGGCTACCTGCCAGATGAAAGTTTGCTTAAACAATTATATACTCACTTTGTATAATTGTCTCAATATCTAGGTAAATCAACTCGAGGCAATCTCAAGGTTTCCCATATTTTGAGATATGTTCAGTAAATAGTCCATAAAAAATTTAACACGTTTCTTCCTGCTTCATATCAAGTCCAACATAACAAATATAATGTGCTAAATGGAGATTACAAATACCGAACTCTGGCCTACTATCCGTTTGGAATTCGTTAAAATGAGATTTTGGGAGGAAATGTATTTTGAAATAGTAATTTTATAGAGAATATGATTAAAATATAAAAATAAATAATTTCGAGTTTACGTGTAACATTATTTTATGGAAGAATGTGATTGAAAACGAGTTTTTAAAAAAATGCATTTTTTGAAAAATAAATACCAAACAAGGACTAATATGAAATTGCTAATGAAGTCAGCAACTCACAGTCCTTATTCAAAAGCTGTTTTGAGACTCATTTTTTTTCCTAAGAATCATTTTAAAATAGGACATTAATGGAGAATGTGTGACTGAAAAAAGGGAAAAGTTTTGAGCTTGTATGTAATATTATTTTATTCAAAAACGCGTGATTGAAAAGAAAAAAGAAAAATATATTTTAAAAATAATGAGAATGAAACAAAGGCACATTTCAATCCAAAATTTGAGCACCACGTCAGATTCGAAAGAAAAGGGGCGGCGGGGGATCAATTTTTTGTGCAAAAGCAAATAGATCAAAGATGAAGCATCCAAAACTACTACAATCATCTAGCAAGATCTTGAGAGTTTCTGTTTAGGCTGGCTTCGACACAATGACATACGATCCAACATTTGTCCTAATCAAACAACAGCACTTAAAGCTAGAACTGCTATTGCACATTGGCAAAGATAAATCTGTAATGGATATTTGTCTGACAACCAGAAACAGCAAGTGAAACCACAGTGCTGATGACCAGATATACTATCTTTTAAAACGATTCAAAGTTCATTACCACTGGAAATGCGATGACCAGTGGCAAAAAAGCCGTGTAGCTGTTCAACGAACAATAAGAGACAGTAACTGCATACTTTTCTTTAGCAACTCTAGGGATTCTGCCTACTTTGCTTCCAGAAGCATCTGCAGGCGGTTTACGGTTCAGATATCCACAGACGCTTTAGGGTTCCTGCCTACTCGTGCTTCCAGGAGCATCTGCAGGTTGCTTACGATTCAGATAGCGTATAACAGCATCTTCCACCCTGTCAAGAAGAGACAATGATTTCAATAACAAGTCCGGTATTAAGGGGAAATGCTAGGAAGTAAGTTTAACTCTAAAACGGAAGCAGCTAATATCTCATGCAGAAAACAAAGCCTACCAAGTACCGATACTCATATTTCATCTTTATTGAATAAAAGAAATTCAGGTCGAACAAGTTTCAATTCAAATAAAAAAAAAAAAAGGCACACAACAATGTCTATGACATTCCCGATATACCAACAAATTTCAATATCTAGGGTATTATAAGGTTCTTAACTAAACTGAAAGGACATAAACACGGACACATTGAGGACACTGATTTAAAATTTAAAATTCTTATATTTTATCTTTATTTTTATATTGTTTTATATAGGACATGGTATATGATGTATCAGAGGGGTGTCTCTAAATATCCCTAGACTGTCGGTAATTTAAAAAATATATGAAAAAAAAGGGGGGAACGAGGGCACATGGCTTGTTGGATACATGTCCTTAAGTGTGAAATGTCCGTGCAACATAGGTTTTTAATCATCTGAAAATCAGTTAAAGCAGGAACATCTCAAATTACTTCCGAAATCCATTACAAGCATTCAACTCCAGCTTCCTGTCTGAACCATTTGCCTATATGATATGGTAATTGTATCCAAAATAGGGTTCTAGCTTCTGATTGAAGTTAACTACGTATGTTCCCCAACCACTTTACAATGATAATATTCGGAGCCCGTTTGATGTACATCTTTTGAGAATAGATTTTGTAAAAAGAAAAAAACGATTCTCTAGAGAATGTATAGTTAAAATGTAGGGAAAAATTATGGGTTCACATGCAAAATTATTTTATCTGAAGAATGTGCGGTTGAAAATGAGTTTGGAGAAAAATGAATTTTAAAAAATCTGAACCAAACAAAGGCTCAATCAAGTAAGCTAAAAACAGTTAACTGGGATCAGGAAGTTAATTATGAACATACCAGGGTTGGTTGTAGAAATCTGATCGACGCTCTTTTTCTGGATTGCGTATTGCTTCCCCAGAAACAACTTTCAGATCCTTGTTTTGAGAATCAATCAGTGTGTTAATAAATTCTACTGGTGACTGACTAAAACCAAGAAAGAATGCCCTTCTTCTACGGTGCTCATGGATCTTTCTTATGGCGGTACAAATTGCTTCATCACAGGCATCGATCTCTTTTGTTTTTTCAGTATTGGCCAACAGAGCATTCAATTCCCTCTGTATTGGGAAGGGCACATCAACTAAGACATCATAGCATGCAGTTCCAGCAGGACAGTTTCCTGATAGTTTGATCCTGTGCTCTAAATGTATGGGTTGAGGAGGAAACAGGTGGGGTGTTATTTTCTGCGTCACTGCAGTAAATCTGATCCTTCCTTCCCCAAACAATTTCTGAAGAGGAGGATCACAATTGAAAGAAGAAGGGTCATCCGGACACTGCAATTTTCTAGCCTTCACATAATGCCAAATAGCAGCTATGATTCTTGCACGAGTATCAACCTCGATACCTAAGACTTCCATCAGAGCCGATGAAAGCTTATACTTCTCGGGCATGTAATTCATTTCTAATCGTATATTTGCAGTGAATTCTTGATCCCCTTTCCTTTTTACCTCGAAGCCTTCATGAGAAGCAGGTGACCGAGCACTATCCCATATAATCATATGGTTATCAGGATAGAGTTTCTGGTCCAAGGAAATAGTAACTCTCTTGAAAAAAGAAGAGAACCTTGGATATAAGGAGCTAGATTTCTGCATCATGCCAGCTTGGTCAGGATCCATCCCGTCCTCCAAAATCCTCCCTACAATTTTAAGGGTCCACGTAGGTGGCTCCGCATTTGGCTTCTTAGGAATGGTACGAATCTGATTAGCAAAAGTGTTAAATACATATATCCGCAGAGTTTTCGGTATGTATGATGGAGACTTTAGAGCCTCTTGGATATCAATTTTCTTCCTTGTCAGAGCAGCATCCACACGAGACTCAAACTCAAGGAGCTGTGTGTAAAGAGCAGATTCGGGCAAAATTGCAGCCACTCTTTCCTGTAACTGCTTCTCTGGAAGCTTTTGCTTCTTCCTGCGAGCAGCAGCTGAAGCGTCCATTGTCCTCATAGGAGAAACCGTGTTCGTAGGCAAGAAGCCGGTCGGCCGAACAGGTGGTTTCTGCATAAACCTTTTTGCACTGGCACTGCCAGCTCCTGAAACAGAGGGAGATGGAGAACCCAAATTTGCCCCACTGGAATGTGCTTGGTTGAATGAAAGCCCTTGAGCAGCTTGCAACTGCGCTTGGAATTGAGCATGGGCGGCCTGCACTTGAGCTTGGGCATGAGCCTGAGCCTTTGACTGAGCTTGAGCAATGGCTTGGGCATGAGCAGTGAGCTGAGACAGTTGAAATTGCCCCGGAAAGCCAGATACGACTTGTTGCTGAGCAGATGGGTTCACAGGCAATGAATTGCCGAAGGGGGATGAAGCCCCAATGTTCTTTGGTGGATTATTGTTATTTGCAGACATAGCTAAATCTAAACAATTAATTACCTCAGATAAACCTAATCAGCATATGCATCAGGGCACCGACTGGGACCGGTCGAACTTATAGATTGGAAACCAACAAAAAAGATCTAACTACTGTACATAAACCTAATAACCATAATAAGAAACCCAAAAAAAAAAAAAAAGGCTCAAGAGCACGTAATTAAGCACCGTTAACCTGAAAACAGGAAATTTTCAAATCTTTACCAAAAGATCAAAATTTGGCAACAGCTCATTACATAATAGAGATTGTAACAATGGAAAACCATAAACCCTAATCTTACACGATACGATTTCATAAATTACATAATTGGAAATGTAGGATCGAAATTATTGAATAATCTTACAAAATATGAATCTCACTGGTGAGAGTTGGAAACCGTGGAGCTTCCTTCTCGGCAGTTGACTCGCTCGGCGAGTTAGCCACTCAACAATGGCGTGAGTAGGTTCCAGTTTGGTTATAGTCAGTCATAAATAAAGATTGGGCCTATTTACAAGTTCTGTGTGTTTTGGGCCACAAATTCCAAGTTTTTGTCATATTTTATGAAGCAGATACTACTATTTTCATCCACCATTTTTATACATACTAGTTTTAACCCGTTCATTGTACGGGGTGTGTGTTTTTGAAGGTGATGTTCGCGTTCTGTATTTTATGTAATAGTCAAAATATTGTACAGTTTGGAATAGTTTGGAAACAATAAAGTAATAGAAAAAAAGTCATTAGTTTTTGTATTTTATAGAGACTTCCGAATTTATTTTATGTAATAGTCAAATTATTGTACAGTTTGGAATAGTTTGGAAACAATAAAGTAATAGAAAAAAAGTCTTTAGTTTTTGTATTTTATAGAGACTTCCGAATAGACTAATATTTGTATCCGTCTATGTTAGATTACAAATTCTAAAATTTCTCCAATGTTGTAATTCCTGAAAATAAATGATAGGTATGTACAAGGAGAATGCAAAGGAAGATTCATATTCAAAGAAAATGAACCTCTTCAGTGAACTTCTTGCCGATTATATCTACAATATGCAATCTTAGTGTAGTTGTATTCTGTTGATTGGCCATGTGAAAGCAAGGAGTATAGAGCTACAAAAATGTGTGGAAGAGTCAAAGAAGTTTCATAGAAGTGTAAATGTTATAACACGGTCAAGAGAGTCATTTTGATATCTACCTGTGGCTCGACATATGTGAATGAGCTGCCAACAAATGAATTTGATGAGGAATAAGATGTCCCATCCAACCCCGTGTGGGGAAAGAACAAGAATTCCAGCAACAATCCCTTCAACCAATCTTCGTTCACTCAAAGCTGTCCATGAATAACCTATCAGATAATACAACTAAGAGGCTTTGTAAATGACATCTACCATTGCCATATGAAAGAAGTCTATTTTCCAAGTCATCAATGAACTTATGATACATCAACATAGACAATCAATGGTTGATTTAGTAAAAGGAAAAATTCACTGCTCCTGAAGAGCTTACACGGTAAGAACCTACCATTAAGGTGAACAAGCCCTCCATGGATCTTTGGACATCTCTCCAAGTCCAACTTTACCAAGTTTAAAGGGAAATGAAAACTTAAAGGCCTTAATAGTGTCATATATCTAGTAGAAATCCATTTTCTTTCTACCTCTCACCATAGTCTTCCTTAGTGCAATGATGGACTTTTAAAAAAAAAAAAAAAAAATTTCCAGATCTTCTCTTTTCTTTATACGTTTCAATAATATTCCTAGAAGGTGCATGGTTTTCATAGTAGTTCTTAATATAAATCAAAAGTGATTCTCTACATTGGACATAAAATACCGCCCTCCCTCAAACATTTTCATACTTCGAGTGGAATTCCATCTAGGCTAATTATTTTTTATGATCTTCGGCCTCTTTATATAATCACTCACTTCTACAAATTGAATTCTTCTAGTATAAATAACATTCATATCTATAGTGGACTTCATTGAATACTCAATATCCTCACTACGCCTTTCTATAAATAATTTGTCAAAATATTTCCTCAATCTTCTCTGAGATCTTATTGCTAAGGAATAAAACTCTTTTAGTTTTCATCTTTAATATACTAAACTTACTAAGATCTCTACTTCCTTTTCCCTTTATCCGAGATATATTGTAAATAGATTTGTTCTCAGCATTTTAAAGTTAACTACACAATTTTTCATATTCCTCCTCACATGACTCAAAACACCCGGTTTAAAACATCTATTGCTATTAAAGGATTTGGAAAGAGGCCAAAGATGTATATTATTCCAATGATCGAGGGAAATTAAAAAAAATATGGGTAGACATGCAACAGTGATTTGGCAGCACATGCAACAGTGATCCGTGAGGAAAAATCACGAATGAACAGTGAACCTCAAAACCTCTCTTTTAAGAGAGTAGGGATATTCTACTCTACGTTCATTCCTATTAAAATTTTAAAATTTTAAAAGTAATTATATTACCCCTACAAATTATACTAAGTGCACCACAAATTTTTAGTATTTTTCTTATTTACTGAGATAGTTTTAAGTAAAATTACACATAATTACCCTAAATTAAATTATTGTTCCACCACAAGTGTAAACTTATTATTTTTTCTTTCTTTATTCTCAACAGCTGACTACGCATATATTTTTCGTCGACGATGACTTTTTCGACAGCAAGATAATTTTCTCACACAATTTAAAATAAGGATCCCCCAAAATCAAGCTAGCTTTGCAAAATCAAAATTGCATTTAGAATTGAGTTGCCATGGTCACCTATAGTATAATATTAATATACCTTCACTCAGAAGGCTGCAGTCCAGTTTCTCACGAAAACATGGGTGGAAAGGATGAAAAAATGAGAAGTATGATTAGTACACCATATATATATAAACACACACACACACACACACACNAAAAAAAAAAAAAAAAAAAGTGCTCCAAAAAATGCGGAGGAACAATCTACATGAGGAGCAATGCTCTGCACAAATGCGGGGCCAAACGATTTTTTTTTTATTTTTTCAGTTTTTTTTTACATTTTTTTGTTTACGTGCTATCACTAATTTATTTCAATCTAATACAAAAATATAAAATTAGAAATGTGAAATTGAATATTTATGTTACAATTGATATACATGAGATTAAAATTATCCCCTTGCCAACCAATAATCAAAGTTACCACTATGGTTCTACCCATAACATTCATACTGCTCTAGACAAATTAAATGATAACACATTACCCTTTCCGAGTAATAGTTTTCTATTTTCACAAGATATTAGTAATGACAATATAAATTGCAAAATAAAACCATTAAGATTATCATAGGATCATGGCACTTGACCCCCCAAATTGAAGAACAACTCATTTACTGGGCAATTGCCAAATTCTTTAACAAATTTGGAAAATCTAAGAAATTTAGTGATTTCTGCAAATAATTCATCTGAGCAAGTGCCTGCTGCCCTGCTCTTCACAACTTGACAAATCTTCAAGTTCTTGATTTTTCAGACAACAATCTTGGACCCGCGTTTCCTAGTTTGCTCTCAAAGTTGATTTCTTTGGTGCTCAGGAAGAACAAGTTCTACTCAGCAATTTCTGATAAGTTAAGCTCTTGTTACCAGCTTCATCCCATTTGTTTTCCATTGTTCTCAAGCTTTTCATCATTCTCTTGGGATATAGCTTCCTGCAGAAATAAATCAGTCATCAGAACAAAAGAAAGAAAGTAGAAAATCAACAAAATAGAATCAGTTCGACATTTTAAAACATGCATTAGAAAATTCACTAAACAAACATCCCCAGAAAACCGATTTTTGAATTATAGAGATTTCATAAATTCTCTTCATCAATGGTAGGATCTAATGAAATATTATAATGAGTCTGCTATATATCAACCATTGTTTGATGAATATTTGACTCTCAATTGTACGCCACGAAGTTCAAATCCTATGCGGAGTTGATGTGCGGAGCAAACTCCGCATTATGCAGAGTCAATGTGCGCAGCGAACTCCGCATTATGCGGAGATCCTGTACGGTACTCCGCATAATGCGGAGTTTGCTTCACACATTACTCTGCATAATGCAGAGCTTGCACTTCAATTTTTTTTTTTTTCACTTCATACATAAATAGAATTACAATTTATTCCTTGCCCTCCTCCTCCATCGAGCGAAAAGAATCCATCCATTTTACAAAGTTTGAGAATTATGAGAGACGGGAAGAAGGCAGCCACCATTTCAAAGGGAGGAAAAAATTGGCTTAGTTGGAAGACTCCAACTCTGCATAATGCGGAGTTCATGGTTCATGTCTCCAAATTATATGAAGATGTCTCCATAGAATTTGGAGACACAGTACTTCGGGTCTGTTTGTAGGCAATCACTATTTCAAAGGGAGGAGAAAATGGGCTCAATTGGACAACTCCAACTCTGCATAATGCGGAATGCACTATGCCGAGCTCATGAACTCCGCATAATCCAGAGGGATGCGATATTCAACATATGCTAATTAAACATGTTGGGCACTAAAGGCCACAATGGAAAATTAACTTCATTTTCTTGTAATTTAATTTCTATTTGCATGCTTACTGGTATATATTCTAGTAACATGTTTTGTAAAGAAAAACTAAGAAACATAATTTACGAATAAAGAAGTAAAAAAAAACCCAATGTTGAGAAGTAACCACAGTAGAACAATATTGAATTCCAAAAAAACACTTTCATTTCTTTCTACTTTATTTTCATTTCTTTCTAACTTATGATACAAACTAAAAAACACATTTTCATAACAAATATTTCAAAATACTTTCTTCCACTGTCAAACACTAAAAATTTTAACTTCTAAAATATTTAATGCTAAATATTCTCTTCAACATATTTATATTCTAATATATAACATTGAGAACTAACCAACAACAGTGGAACAATGTTGAATCTGTACGGAAAGATCAAACAAATCTTCTGGGTTTAATATTTGTAGAGTAAGACCACTATGAAATGGAGAGACGATGCGGAGTTGCGGAGTAACACTCCGTTACTCCGTACAATGCAGAGAAGCCATCAAAGACCATAGCAAGTAACCTGGGAAGATGACTAAAGGAACATATTTGATCAGGAAAGGTGCATTAATCAACAGATATTGAAGCCGAATAAATAGAATGTTGGTTTAAGTCTGATGGTAACAAGTTGGAATAATATATATAACACAGATTCATAGATCACATCATGCTAATAAAAATAACTATATCATACTTCATTTTAGGGCCAAAAAGCAGCTTCAGAAGATGCCTTATTATAGTCTCACATGGAATTTTTCGTAAGCATCCATAAATAAGTTTATTTTGAAACCCACTCGCAAAATAAACTTATTCAAAGCTTCCATTCCCAGATATACAGCCAGAAAAAGAAGAATAGATGCCACAAAAGAAGAAGAAGGCACATTTCACTTTTGTCTCCCCGCCTAAGACAACATCAAAAACAATGTAGACATGCAACACATCAAATCTTTACCTATTAAGCATGGAAAGATTGTAAATAAGAGCAAAACTACTAAGTAAAAAAAAAAAAGTTATCAAATTAGCTTAAACTAACCTTTTTCTATCAGGATTATCACAACTAAACATCATAGAATGGTATGAGGACCACTAAATTTTTTTTGTAGGAGGTATGAACTACGACTGGTTCCAATGCAGTCAACAAAGATCAATAAAAGCACAAACAAAGGAGTGAGAAGGAAAGATAAATTGACATGAACTAAAATTTAGTAAAAAATTGTGGATCTAGAATGATTTCATATTCTATTATATTATAGTCATACAAGCATAAGGGTACAGCAAAACAACCTCTCTTGCAGCTTCCATGCTCAATCTACGCAGATCAGCATCTTTCTAGTTACTGTTGATCATTTGTCAACAAATGTTTTCTTATTCACCATTGCATTTGAAATGGGGGCCTTAGGAGTTACACGAACATAACTAAAACCTAGACCCCATCCAGAAGGGTCACCAACACCAGTAATCTCCAAACGCTCAATCTTTTCTTCATCCTGAATATCAAAGGTAAGTTCAGTTTCCAAATACACGATCCTACACATTTATGGTTTAAACAAGTATATCACAATGTAGGCAGCCAATATCCTTAAATTTAAGGTTTCAAATATGATATATTGGAGGATAACTGGAAATAGAAAACATAGCCATTCGAGAAATAATGAACTAAAGTTGTCAATTGCCCGCATGACATGTTGCTCTTTAAACCAGGCAAGTCTGCAGACTCTTTAAGGCAATCAAAGCTATCACTTAACAAATCTTCACCAAACAGTATATTAACAGAACGGATAATTTATATAACAGATAATATACTGTATACGGTAAAGCCAAAATGTCAATTCACTTTTCTTTTTCCTTTCTTTTGAGGAGGGGTGGGTTTTGTCTTTCTTCCTTTACACTTTTTATTGGAGATAGGGGAAGGTGAACCACGAAAAGGGGGTCCCGCGGAGAAGGAAGAAATTATAACTTACCGCTTTCGTACATGCCACAAAATTGCTACTCAAATTCCATGGTGTTATCTGCAGTTCTCTCTCAATGTGTGATGCAGTGGCTAAAGCAATTACATCATCTGGCAGTTGATTCATTGCAGATGAACGTCCTGCAAGATGAGTGAACCTAGTGATTCCTAACCGTCTAAGCCTGTATTGGCCAACCAACATGCTCTCATAGGCACACACCTACGACAATCAGTAAACAGAAGTAATAAATTATCTACTTCTATCAAAATAATAGTAAAAAATATTCATCTCCTTAAGTAATAAAAAAACATAGATAAGATGGTCAAGACAAAAAAAATAGGAGACAGTAATCCTGCTTGGGTGATTTGAAGTAAATCCTAAGTCATAATTCTTTGTGGTTTGACACAATAGAAGAAGTGTTGCATAACAACAGCTTCATGCGATAAGGTAAAGATGCCAAAATGTTAACCAAGTAAAGGCATGTTAAAGTTACTTAACGATGTTCGTTTGCAACTGTGACAACCTTAAAAACATAATTTTGCCAAACTTCAACCAATATGAAAAAGACAATTTACATAATATTTTCCTGGTGAAGCACCATGAGATTAATGTGATCAAAATGAACAAATTATTATTCCTAAAAAAACAAGGCCCATATCATAATTCAAAAACTTTGAGAAAATTAGTTGTCAATAATATATTAAATAACACATATAGATGTGGANAAAAAAAACCCTTGGTGAGTTCAATTACACTTCTTTAAACTATGAAACATATTTCTGATTGTAAGCATAAACAATTTGGAGAACACTTATGACTTCACTCCCTTCTGTAGTCCTTCTTCATAAGTTTATCTGGAGTTTGATTTGAAGTCGCAACAAGAATCTATCCAATTTTCCCATCACAACATCCTCAAATACAATGCGACTTAACAGGAAAAATTACTTCTTCGAGCCTCTTTATTCACTAAAACACTTAACATTCAATTACATGAATGAGTAGAAAGAATTTCCAGATTTTCATGAAGAGAAGTGTACGTGGAATGATCAAAACCTAATTTCTTTTATTGATAGGTACAGCTGTACAATATGCATTCTCTTGTTTTGCATTAGAAGTTATTTTTAGCTAGATGGTTTCTGTTTTGAACATCTATTGATATTTAGGCCAAAATTTTAGGTTGAAGAAGTTACTAAAATTCTAGGAAATGCTAATTAATTGAACAAATGTACAGGGAAGGAATTGTTATATGTAAATAGAAATTGTATTTAAATACTTACAGTGAGAGGCAATAAAAAGTATAAGAAATTCACAGGTTTTTGTGCTCTTGAAAATTTCAATGCGGAGCTCAACTCACAAATGTGGAGCATCCCTCCGCATAATGTGGAGCAATGCTTCACATTTGTGCGGAGCCTGCTCCAGCCAATGAGTGAATTTATTTTCTTTTTCGACTTTATTTAATTTAATCAATATATAAAAATAAAAATCAACAACTTTTTTCAATTAATTGTCTACATTTTCTTACTCCAAATGTATTTATTTTAAATGTATACAATGGGAAAAATTTAATCAACCTCAACTTCCACCATTAATCCTAACCCAACGAACTACAAATAGGAAATGAAAATATATTTGGTATTTACAGTGTTATTATTATTATTTTTTTAAAGAAAGACTTGCATTAGTATTTAAAATAATATATGCTTTCCAATTTATAGTCTTAAACATAGAGAAGCAACAGGATGGAAAACACAAAATTGTATTCAAATACTTACAGTAAGAAGCAATATAGAGGGTAAGAAATTGTTTGGCCTGATATGAGGAGTAAATTGTTTGACCTGACGAAAATAATCGATTTTCGATTTGAGTAGAAGAATTTCAGATGACTCACATGTGTACTTGATGGCATCACATCCTACTTCAGGAACACTGAAAAATTATTTTTCAAACCAATGAAAGCAATTCCAAATTTATATGGGAGAAGAATCTAACAACCAACTTTAAGACTACTACAGATTTCTAAGAATATAGGAACACTGAAAAAAGTCAACAATATGCTAGTTCTAGATCTCTTTGAAAGGGTATGGTTACAACAAGTATAGTCGATCAATATTATCACAAAATTAAAGTAGATTGAGTTATCCAATAGTTAAACACCAAAACGAGAGGCAATTTCTTGAACCTGGCTTTGAAAGTAGCATGACAATTCGAATACGCTTCACTAAAAGACATTAAGAACTTTGAACTGCAGAAAAAGACATTTACCTGATCTACCGTGGGCATCAATCCACTTGCATGTGCACCAAGGTAAGAACCAGGTAGTACAGGTTCCTGTTAAACAGTTAAAGAAATTCTGATTTTATATATGTATGAAATGAAACAAAAAATTGTAAAAAAAAAAAAAATGAAGAAAAAAAATAAATTTTTTTCTCTGCACAAATGCGGAGTGGCTACTCCACATTTGTGTGGAGTTAACTCCGCATCTCTGCATATGAGGAGCAACCTATTCATGAGCTCCGCATTATGCAGATTGATGAAAGGATATGTGTTCACCTTTAAGTTGGGACAATTTTGAAATTGACTTAACTAAGAAATTGACCTCTGGATTCTTGAATTGTGGAGTTATGTAAGTATGTAAAAGAAGATAAAAATTGTTAGTACAGGAGATCTCATTTTTGCGTCAATTACATTTTTTTTTTGCTTTTTTATTCGTAAATTATGTTCCTAATTTTTCCTTTACCACATCCAGGTAGACTTCCAAACTGCCTTAGATGAGCAAAATGAGAACCGTACAGATGTTGAGACAACTGTATGAATATTGCTCATTAACTAATTAATTCAAATTCCAAATGAAAACTGAAAGACTTGCACCAAGATCCTGATTTGCATCAAATGGAACAGAGGGGCTTCTCCTATTTGAATTATCAAGATCACCTAGCAGCTTCTTTTTCAGTTGCAGTATTTGTTCACTCTCTGAAATTTACTTATAAGTTAGTTAAGTTTTGATATTAAGACATTTACTGCAATTGACTAAGTGGATAAAAGTCTCATGAATTCAACATAATACATATCTAATTTAGACCATATATTAAAAGTAATATAAAAAAACATATATATTAATTATTTGATCATCTGCTCCATTTATTTACACATAGAAATGTAAATAGCCAGCTTCCATTTATTTGATCATTCGTTCTAAGAAAACTTAGAAGACTCCAACTCCACATAATGCGGAGCTCATGGTCCATGTCTCCAAATTCTATGGAGATGTTTCCATAGAATTCAGAACCTTAAAGAGCAAAGCTCTCTGGTGTGAATCTCCAACATTAAGACGCCCAAGGAGAAGGATGATTGTATTCAAAAAGATTTGCAAGTCATAACACCTTGCTCTCCACCTTTTAAACATTTCTTCCGTGTTTCCGCATCCCGCGCCTTTTTTCATTTCTTTTTTAAAGTTTTCTTGCTCCATTCCATATATAAAAAAAATTAAAATTTCTTCCGTGTCTCTGCGGGGATCGACCTGTATTTATAGTTTGTGTAAAATGTAAATAAGTAGAATTTTTTTGGCAAAAAAAATAAGAAATGAAAAAAAAGTGCAGGGTACGGAGACCACCATAAATTTTAATTTTATGTATATATGGAATGAATCAAGAAACCTTTAAAAAAACTGGGGGAAAAAATGTAAGATGTGTCTCCAAATTCTATGGAGACATGAACCATGAACTCCGCATTATGCGGAGTGTTCTCCACATTATGCGGAGTTGGAGTCTTCCGACTGATCCAATTTTTTCCTCTCTTTGAAATGGTGGCTGCCTTCTTCCTGTGGTTCATAATGTTTTTTTACTCCGCATTATGCATAGTTAGTGCTCCACATAATGCGTAGTTGCTCCGTATTATGTGGAGCAGGTGCTCCGCAGAAATGTGGAGCAGCTCAGCATGATGCGGAGCACTAATTCCGCATTATGCAGAGTATTTCTTACATACACGATAGGCAACTACGAAAAATGAAAATCTAGCCCGTTTTCGCCTTCCTTTGAAATGGTGGCTGCGCGTAGTAACTACGCAGATGCTCCACACAAATGCAGAGCCTGCTCCAGCCAATGAGTGAATTTAATTTCTTTTTCAACTTTATTTAATTTAATCAATATATAAAAATAAAAATTAACAACTTTTTTCAATTAATTGTCTATATTTTCTTACTCCAAATGTATTTATTTTAAATGTATACAACGAGAAAAATTTAATCAACCTCAACTTCCACCATTAATCCTAAACCAACAGAACTACAAATAGGAAATGAAAACACATTTGGTATTTACAGTGTTATATTTTTTGAAGAAAGACTTGCATTTGCATTTAAAATAATATATGCTTTCCGATTTATAGTCTTAAACATAGAGAAGCAACATGATGGAAAACACAAAATTGTATTTAAATACTTACAGTGAAAAACAATATAAAGGGTAAGAAATTCGCATGTTTCTGTGCTATAAGACCCGTTCTTGAAAATTTCTTATTCCTACAAGCTCAAGAGGACGGTAATGGAATAAAATTGTAGAAGTTGGAGAGGACGATGGCAGAATGGAATAACCAATACAAACAGATTTTAAAAATGTGAACCGACTATAAAAAGATCAATTTGTTCTTCAACCGACTATAAAAAAGAGTATGGGAAATTGAAGTACTCCAAAGTCAATAAATCCTGCTGGAAGGCTAATTGGAATTTTTGTCTGCACATGCAACAGTGATATGTGAGGAAAAATCACGAATGAACAGTGAACCTCAAACCCTCTCTTTTAAGAGAGTAGGGATATTCTACTCTAAGTTCATTCCTATTAAAATTTTAAAATTTTAAAAGTAATTATATTACCCCTACAAATTATACTAAGTGCACCACAAATTTTTAGTATTTTTCTTATTTACTGAGATAGTTTTAAGTAAAATTACACATAATTACCCTAAATTAAATTATTGTTCCACCACAAGTGTAAACTTATTATTTTTTCTTTCTTTATTCTCAACAGCTGACTACGCATATATTTTTCGTCGACGATGACTTTTTCGACAGCAAGATAATTTTCTCACACAATTTAAAATAAGGATCCCCCAAAATCAAGCTAGCTTTGCAAAATCAAAATTGCATTTAGAATTGAGTTGCCATGGTCACCTATAGTATAATATTAATATACCTTCACTCAGAAGGCTGCAGTCCAGTTTCTCACGAAAACATGGGTGGAAAGGATGAAAAAATGAGAAGTATGATTAGTACACCATATATATATAAACACACACACACACACACACACACACACACACTAGGTGAAAGCAACGTGCAATGCACATTTGCTTAGTTCATATTTAATTTATTTGGTTAAGAATAAATCTCTTATTAATAAAGATGTAATTGTTTTGGGTAATTAAATAACTAATGATGTAATGTTTATGTAATTGATAAATAATTACATGTTGTGATATATTAAAAAAAAAGAGCATTAATAGAATCTATGGAATGATCCTATAAATAAACATAGCTCAATAGTTTTATGAAAGGTGTTTGAAATAATTTTGATTCTAAAATGACGATCCAGCATTTTCCTCATCTTGCACTGCTTCAACAGAGAGGACATTAAAATGCTTATATAGTTCTCATTCAGTTTCTCTGGATCTACAAAAAGTTGAATCTTCCAACTTTTTTTTGATAATTTCTCTGCAACGCTTTTAACATATGGTCGATTTTCCTACAAAATAAATTTTGAATAGGTTTACATAATTAATTTAAAATCCGTTTATATTTTAAATAACTCATTATAATGAAACTCAAGTTTTAAAGAAAAATTGAAAAGATACCTCTCCAGCATGTTTCATTAATTCAACTGCTGAACAACCAAGTGTTCGTTTTGCTACTCCACCAAACAAAGTGGTAGCTAACGTTCCAATATTATCGTTCAATTCAACATACACTCTAGCACTTTAAATGCGTTGAGTATATTAATTTTTATTTGAATGTTGTGAAATTATAAATTAAATGAGACATCAATTTTAAATTAAAATTGTAAGATACATACCGTGGTTTGCTGACCCCTTAACTTTTGCAATATATACAAACGAATGTTTCATTGTATATATATCCAATTCCTCTATTACATGCAACACATGACATGTAATAAAATATTTAGGCAAACTCAATCACATTTATGTTTACCTTTATCCAGATTTTTGCTTTCTATATTAAACCATAATAAATTTTTAGAATGAATGTTTGCGTAAATATTATAATGAATTACTAATAAAATAATATTTACCGCAGTGGGTTGTAAACCCTTAATCAAATCTGCAATATCGCAAATCTTCACAATTTTCCGAATACCAACAGATAAAAGTGGTGCAGATGGGTATGTCAAGGATCTTGCAATTATAGTTTTAATTACCGAATCATTATTCTGCGCCCTTAAAATTCAAAAAAGAAGAATAATGTAAGGAAATGAAATATACAGGTAAATTACATAAATCACATAATTATGTCTAATATTAATGCATTAATATATAATTTTTAATTGATGAGAATTACCATTGCTTCATTGCAGCTACCTCAGGAAGAAGATGATTGACTATAAAGGTACTTGACGGACGTGATGAGAGAGACAATCCTTTGTTGAAATTGAGATCGATTTTAGTGCAAGTATATACAGTATGGAAAAATATCTAACATTTTTTATTATTATATAAATACCGTTATATGATCCAACAAATATTTTTGTTCCAAGTATTATTGGCTTATCTTCAATAATATTTGATATTTTCTGACATTCGTCTTGGACGAATCGACCCCACATAGTCAAACATATGGGGTTCAAGCTACAAAATTGAACTTATTAAAAGAGTTAATAAAATATTCCTAAATTAATATTGGAATTCAAATTTAAAAGAAATGAGAAGTTATAAGAATTTTTTACCTTTCGTCGATAACATATATCTCTTGGATTGTTGTTGGTCCAAATGTTGTCGTTACCTCTTTAGTTTGCTTAATTTTTATTACTACAGCTAAAATACCTAAGTATTTAAATATGAAATGTTAATTTATTGATAATTAATTTGTAATAAAATTTAAATTAAATTACCTATTTCTCCAATTGACCCTCTATAAGCCTCTGAATCCTTGAATGGGACGATCTCATATTTCGGTGCATCTATTTGCTCTTCGTTTTGTGGAACATTTTCTATTATTGTTTTTGAGTTCAGAGACAAGATTCAAAAATTCAGCCGCTGAAACACGTACAAAAGGGGAAAAATAAGAGCAAATGAGACTCTAGTTTTTCCAAATTGTAACTTATTATAATTTTTTTGCCATTACAATGTATAGGAGAAGACAATGGTATCCCTGCCTAGAGTTAACGTGTATAATTTGCCACTGTTTTTCTATTAAATTTTGAGTTCTCAAGTAATGGAATTCAAATAAACAAAAATGGCCTATGGGGTACACTTATAATTGGCACTGTTTTTTTCCATATTCGAAATTATTATATAATGAAATTCCAGCTGACAGAAGATAAATGAGCACAAAGTCTGCCTTAATTGTTACTTAACGGAACCATTAAAGTTAACGGTGGAAAAAGTGGAACAAGAATTTCTGTCAAAACAATAACTTCCGTTTCATAGCCACTTTTTGTGGGCACTGTCGTCGCCAAATCCAAATTAGAAACCATCACCTCCAATAAATGTTCTAAAAGGTGACGTGGACGTCAAGTCTCAAACCTTACAAATTTAAGAATGATTAAGTATTGTCCTATTTTAATATTTTTTTGAATTATTCTAGACAACAAAAAAAACACATGCCTTCAAAATTTATGAAACTTAAAAATTTTAGGTTTTCAACAAAAAAAATAAATCAAAATCATAAATATCATAATTACTTAGTAATGAATTTCTACAAATTAGGTTAGATAAGAACATATCATAAACTTAGTACAACTCTTTGTGGATAGTAGATGAAAGCCGCAGAAGATTCGAAGAATAAATTGAGCTGAGAAAAAAATGGAGAAAAATGAGTGCTTTGATTATTTTCAACGTGAATGCTCTCGTTTGAGATGTTCACGAGTCTTGTAACCACAATTTTAAAATGCACGCCTAGACTCATAGAGTAATCGAGGTCCCCACCTAGGACTTGGGCATGCGAAAAGGCGAAAGTAAGCTCTTTGTCCAACTTCATTTTGCCTTTCGACTATCTCATTTCGAGCCAATTCCGTGCCAACCAGCTAGACGTAGGGAAATTGTGGGCACTACGTTGCAGCGTGCATCTATGCTTGGCCGATCAATTGAAAAGCTGCGCAGTTTCCCCTCCACGAGCGTGTCCTTTGTTTGCTATCTGATTTCGGGGCAAATTCTGTGTCACAACTCTTTTATTGACCA